CCCAGCAGCAGCCCCAGCCGGAATCTGTACATGTATGGTAGTAATGTAAGTCTGAATGTGGGTAAGGGGAGAGGATAGTGCAAGCAAGAAGAAGGAAAGATCGCGCGCAGTCGGTAGTTCGTTTGTTAGGGCATTACTCCGGCATTCGCCAGGTAATGGTCGGAGAATATGAAAAACTACCGATCAGTGCAGTCGGCCACAAAAGTTTCCTACAGAGAGGGCCTTCAAATATTTACTTGTAACACTGAGCATTAATGTAATAAATAGTATGGAAACGAGTTATACTTTCACTGCAATTCAGGCAATAAGCAAGACATTCGTTTTGTAAACTGAGCTAGAATATCTAACTATAAGTTGACTCTATATTGAAGCTGAAACTGCTAATTATTCGAAACAACCTCATTTATTCAATGTGCACTAGACAATGTTCGTATTATCACTGACTTGCAAAATATATACATATATCAATTTGAGTAAACTTTTTAACTGGAAACATATTACGATTTGTATGTACATTTTTATGCGAAAACGAACTAAATGTCATTGCTTCTCCCTTGGCGAAAGCACTCTCTTCAAAATTTGGCGTTGATTCGCCAACTAAGAAGCACCTGACGAGTAACTCTTTTCGAAATCCGTTGAAGGCTCCTAAAGTGAAGCTTAACGCCCAATTACTTTGCTCCTTTTTCTGTGAACGGTGCGTGACCCAGTTAAAGCAAACACTGCGCCAACTCGAGTACTGCTCATGGTGTAAGCTGCCCAGCATTTAAGATCAAAAGGAATGCTTTGGACAGTGACGAGTGTTCCCTATGAAAAAAGAAATATACTGGTAAGAGAATCGGATATACTCGTTACGCACCATTGTTCTCGATGCTCATAAAAACACTGTAGGAATAAATATTCCCACAAACAATGTGAATAAATTTATCTAATTTTAAACATACATATCTGCCATCTGTGGATAGTCCACATTTTTAAAATTGAGTGTAACGTATGTAGTATAATTTAATTCCGATTCTGACGGCCCGGAAAATTATTTTGCGCAATATCGATCTACACGTTACATATGTTCAGTATCATAATTTAGTAACACATGTAATATAATTCTTGAAAAATTCCGGTAATCAAAGTGATATTTCCGAGTTCTAGTTTCTTTCATTAGCCACATTTCTCGAAATGTTCGGCATGGTATTAGATTCCTTCAGATTGCCATTAACATTGGTACTCCAAACATATGACGTGAACGTGCTTCTTTTCCCGGGCATCATATTGTTCCCACTGCCGTCTGTTAAATAGAACATTGCTAAGTTCTTCGATTAAATAATTTTAGTTTTTTATTTCAATAATTAAACTTCTTGCAGTAATGTATATACCAACACGACGCACACAGCCGCTCCAAGCAAAAATATATGGTATTTGAATGTTTTATCTTTCTCCATTTTTGTCACTCTAAAACAATTTTTTTCTTTGCTTTTTCCCCCTTTGCTTCTTCTCGTCATCTCACTTCGAATCTGCCCTTAATGTTCCCTTCCACTTTTCTTCTAGGCTTTCTTCTGTCTGTTTTTCTCGTTCCCTTGCGATATCAGTCTCTCTGTCATTGCATTTACTTCTGTTTCTATTTAATGGTCTCTCTTTCTGTTTTACCATCCTTCTCATCCACATTTTTGCATCCATCTTTCTCTATTCTCTCTAACCCCCTTGTAGAGTCCATTTTCGCTTCGCTTCGTTCATTGAACTCTCAATCCCCTCTGCCAATTTCTCTGTTTCTGACGGTACACAATCATTTACTGTTAATTTACTCTCGTGCTATCTCTTGTCTCTCGCTCCCTCTCGTTCTCTCTCTCTCTCCCATTCTATCTCCTATTCTCTCCCATTCTTTCTGTTCTCTTCCTCCCGTTCTTTCTCTCTCCCTCTCTCTCCCTCTCTTCTGCCCATCTCTGCCCCCTCTCTCTCTCCCTCTCCTCTCCCTCTTCCCCATCTCACTCTCTCCCTCTCCTTCTCTCCTCTCTCTCCTTCTCTCTGCCCTCTGCTTCTCTCCCTCCTCTTCTCCTCTCTTCTCCCTCTCTCTCCTCTCTCTCCTCTCTCTCCCCTCTCTCTCTCTCCTTCCTCTCTCTCCATCTCTCTCTCCCAGCCTCTCTCTTCTTCCCTTCGTCTCCCTTCCCTCTCATCTTCCCCTCTCCGCCTCTCTCTCTCCTCTCTCTCGCCTCCCTTCTCACCCTCTCCCTCTCTCTCTTTCTCTCTCTCGCTCTCTTTCTCCATCCTTCTCCCTATTTCACTCGCTCTCTCAGTTTCTTTGATTCCCTCATGCTCGTTCTGTTTCTCTAGTTCGTTTTGTTTCTTTTGACCCTTCTTCCTGCGATCCTCTCCCTCGTTCTATGTCTGCGTGTCCTTTTGCCTCTTCCTATGTCTCGTTTTTCCTCTCCCCGTGTGCGTCGTGGCTCATCGTACGCCAGCGGGCGGCGCATGGGCGCGGCGCAGAGGGGCGGGGCGAGTGGCGGGGGAGGGGGCGGGAGAAAAAAGCGGCCATCCCGCCCGCGCGTGATATTCCGGTGAAAAGAAGAGAAGAGAGGAGCCCCAGATCGCTAACGCGGGTTTCGTAACGCGGCCGCCGCCGAGGAGGTCTCGTCGCGGAGCCACCGCGCAGCCGCTTCCTCTCCCGATGCGCCGCGGCCGCTTTTCGACCTGCAATGCATCTAATGCACTTCAGATCAATGTGCCTACATGTAAATATGTACAATATTCACACACGCATATACTCGTACAGGTGAATCACTTCCTGCGGCGAAAAAACAAGCGTGCTCCTTATAACATTAGCAATAAATAATTTCGTTTTTTTTTTTTGACTTAGAAGCGTAGATTCCTGAACAAGGGTTTCTCATAGTTTTCCAGTTTCGTCGCAGTCTGTATGTCAACGGAACTTAGTACGCATTTCCATGATTCGAATCGTTCGTCGTTGTAGACACGCAAGATTATTAATGTCATTTTCAATCAGCGAGTGCAATTATGATGCCGGTTGACAGGACATCGCTGTGATGGCCTGACGTGGGGCGCGATCACAGTGTCGCTCTCGCTACAGCACTATAGTAATATGCAACCAAACTCTGTCAGTTCTCAATTTTTTATAATTGTTCAGCAGTTTTTTGACGACGTCTCGTCTTCTATGAGACGAAAGTCCCGACCAGAAGGTTATACTTATAGTAAGTCAAAACTCCGAGGACAGTTACGTGTTGTCGAAGAAAACAATTACTTATTTTGATACACGACGAATGCCCTGGAATTCGTTATCTTAGAAAAATGTTTAAAAATGACTTTATGTGCATTTTCCAAGCTCGAAGCGCTGATGTAGACTGGGAAGCCTATTAGCATTGTTTTTGAACAGCAAGTATATTGCAATTCTGACGACGGCCGGCCGGCTAGCGGAATTTTTATGTCATAAGATCAAGATATTTGTGTTCCAAAAATTAAACTTATTCAATGTAATATAATATGATATTTGCCTAGTAATCATAATTATATCAGACTTAGTTACACAAAATCCGTGACATGAAATATTGTTACCAGTTTAAAGATTCTGTTATAACGTGGGTGTAATATGATCTCAGTAGATATGTATTTTGAAACAGGATATAAAAAATGTTCAGTAAACAATCGCCACTGCCAAAGACCTTTCAGTGAGTGCCCCAAATCGAGTACCAGTCAAATAATTTCACAATGCAGATTTCTTGATTTTAAGAAAGGATTTAGTTCCAATTATAATTGAATGTTGTCTTGGACATTACAAAAACGAATCAAAGTTATTTTTTCAAGAAAACCAAATTTCTCGGCAAACAAGGAATACAGATGCGACGTTCCATATGAAGACGTCATAGTAGTTAAATACGTTCTTTAAAATTGATTATATGACATATTTAGAACGTAAAAATTTTAAAATGCACATTAATGCTAGTTTGCTTGAAATTATAAAATTAAAATATAGAACTTTCGAGTCTCGTAGTCACTTTTGACATGTTATCTAAACTGGCATGTAGCAATTAACTGATTTCAAATTGTTTTAAGGCGTTCATTTTAGAATATCAAATACACGGCAAATCGTATTCAAGATTCCACAACAGTCGTTTAAAGGGTCCGTGTGGGGAACACGAATTTCAACGGAACAGACTCATTTCGCCCTCGTGGCGTGACTCATAGAGCACAGCAGCATTGCCAGAAAGCTGTGACTCCGCCTCCGAGTATATCTCATCATTGCACACTGACCTCGCCTATGCTGAGATACTTACGAAACACGTCGCTAGTAAGAGTTCCTCTAGGAGCTTCACGTGTGTATTTTGAGGCTGCTGTACCCGCACACATAGCTGTGCTTATAAGGCTGCGACAGAATTCATTCTTGTAGATTACATTAGATAAAAGTGATGGAGAGTTTGGTCTATTTCGGGATGTACGCAATACAGTGGAGAAATAAAGTATTAAGAGACTTATCAGGAAAGATAGCAAAAGGAAAAAAAATCTTATTGAAAAACAAAATAAAACTTGTCTCTTATTTTACATGTTTGATTATTTTGTTAAGCAACGGATCCAGCTGAATGATCACATCCAGTGAATTTCTTCTGTTGCCGTGAAATAAAACTTCTGAAAGCTAAATCAAGTAATATTATGACTAAATAACGCGAGAAAACCAGAAGGGGGTAGTATATATGCCAGTACGCAAAACGTCCCTTTCATTTATGAAAATAATTACCTGGAATGAAGGCAACGTCAGTGTGAAACTTGTCGGATGGACTTGTACTAAAGGAAAAGTTATCTTAATAGAATTAGGAAGCAAAGAAATAAGGTTCTTTGTGAGACCAGCTCATTCATAGTACGTACTGCTTCCCTAATCCTTCGCAAGTGCTGAGAATCTACCAATAAGCTAAGAAGTGGCGCCTGTGGTGTAAAAGGATTGGAAGCAGAAGCAGCGGATCCTTTAAGAGGCGGATCCGAACGCTTGGGAGCTCGCATGATCTTTGATGCTGACGCCGCCTGGGCGTCTGGAGCGCGGGCGCGGGCGGCGGCGCCTGGCGGTGGGCGACGGCTGCGGCGCAACCCCCAAGGGCGATGGCGGGCGCGGCGATATGACGCGCGTCCGACTCGCTGCCGCTGCCGCTGCCGACGAGTACGCGCGTCAGTGCTCGCCTAGTCAGCGTGTCAGCAGCTGGGAGCCGTCGACTCCACTGCCACCGCCGCCGCGCGCCGCGTGTGAACCGCTCGAGATGGCCTCGCTCACAGGTGCGTCGCTGACCGGGTGGCGGCGCCAGTATTTGAGGAGGGGGGAGACGGGTGCATAGTCATTAAAAAAGGGGGTGCACGTTGTTAAATGGAAGTGTGTGTGTGTGTGTGTGTGTGTGTGACCGTGCAGGTTTTTACACAGTTTTTGGATGTAGGTACGCGGTGTTTGCGGAGGTGTGTGGTCAGTGAGTAGGTGTGGTGAGTGTCGACCGCGTGTGGAGCTTCGTGAGAGTCATTAGCGTAAATGCAACATCTAGATCATTTAATGGAAACTGTTGGTGACGATGATAACCATTTTTTATGTAAGTGTATTATGTACGTCTGTCATTTGGCGATATCTTTTCTAATAAAGACTGCTTATTTAGCACATTCCTACATGTATTAAAAATTAACAGCTGGGCTGTTGTTTATGAAATCAGTTTTATCTAGCAAAGAGAAATGCTAAAATGTGGTCGAAGGAGAGAAAATAAGCCCAATAAAAATAATAGAATTTGTGAAATTCGTCGACGCGAGAGATGAATTTTATATTTAGACAAGTTTTTTTTTTAATATGCAGACCACAAGGTGATTGCCTCAAAGGGCTCTCGTTCTCCCAACTACTTTCCAGCGGAGTCCTAAAGGCGGACGTGCTAATGGAGATTCCTCAAATTAGATTCTTGAATTGAACTAATCGTCCAACCAATAAGCATTTTATTTTTAGCATGTATATTATTGTCATGAGGATAAGTATACTATATTTTCTTTTGATAAATTGCAACTTATGACTTGTCCATGTCTTCCTAAATCACCGAAATGGGAGCTCCCTACACGAGTTTGCCGGCAATACATGAACTAACATGTATACTTGAATATACATGAATTAACTAAATACGTAATTTGTGTAAAGTGTTAAAAGAAACATTAGATAGATTTTACAAACACTTTAAAGTGTAAATTATATCGTTGTGCTCTCAACACGCGTTGTATTAAACTTTTTAATAATATTATTCAAATATAATGTATTACTAACATTATGTTATATGTATACCTCCAATATAATGTGAAGGTCATGACTTGAGGTGTTTGAAGAGAGATATTTGGAAATGCATACTTTCCTGTTAGATTTCGGTGCATTGAGTCTAGCAACCTATTCATACGATTCATTTTTCATAATATTTCCTTGATCCTTCTATTTCAACTTAAGCATAAAAATTCTTTATTGAATTCTAAGAAGAATTTGTTAACTTTGCGCGAATATTCCAAGATTGTTGTATTGGTACTAACATTCAACAGTTTAAAGTAACTCACGTTCACATTATTTCATACTACATGTCTGTATGATTTACGAATGATGAAACATTTTATTATAACCATCGTCTACTAATCTTCTTCGAAGTTATTTTCTTAAAATAGTTTTTTTAAAAATAACCGATGATATATGGAACCAAAATTAGCTTCGTAAATATAAAGCTTGTGAATTAAAAATGACGTTTAAATTTATGGGCAAAAATTCCCATTGATGACTTCCTTCATAGGATACATGAAGTCCCAATGTTAATGTTTCTCGTGAAAAAGAGTGTCCGTGTCAATAGGGGTCAATGTATTAACTAAACACTAAGCTTGGATGTCATAGAAAAACACTTAATTACCTGTGTAATCTCATATTACCTACCACAATCACAGCTTAACTTGTTACACTGAAACCTTCTCATCCGTAAGAGTATTCCGTGTAGAACAGCGATTTCTCTGCAGCGGCGATTCTTCGTCATTGCTCGAAGCAATGAGGAAGATAGCTCTGGCGGTTGCGTGACACAGCTTGGTATAGCACCCTCTCGTCAGCTTGTTCGGAAGAGCTTCAGTGAAGCCGACGGGTTTCGTCGTTTGGCGTGCCGTTCAGCTGGATGGTTGCTCAGACGAAATGCACGGCAGCTAAGGAAAAGGGGGGCAGAGATTCTTTCTTCTATAAGAGCAGAAATCTTAATCTTAAGATCCAAAGAACAATTGTGTCTTAAGATATCGTTTTTGGAAGAAATAGGGGCATTTAAAAGATTTTTTCAAGTTACGTTATTTATTGTATAAATCGAGTAGTACTCAGACAATAAATAAGTTGTGATCAGAAATTGCTGGGATCCAGTCTGAAGAGTCGAGGACACTAATTCGGAGAAATCCTGACCGCCTACCTCCGTTGGAGCCATTTATTTGAAGATAATTATTGAGACAGCTTCGATGTCGATTCATTCCTATGTAATATTGTCATGTACCGATATTGTGAGATCAGGGGGAACATATGTCTGCGCGCATCAACGCTACGCGGGTCAACATGACACACGGTCAAAATTTGGCTGAAGTCGATAATAAATGCCCAGACTTTTCTGCAGAATAGAAATTTATGAAAATGAAAATGCAAAAAATAGCCTCGAACGAGGTCAGATATTTACATTAACATTGTTATTTCAACATTATCTTTAAAATTTCCTAGAGTAGAGCTGATTATTTAAGGATCTAGAAGTGGTACATCACCAGAGTGCTATGGCTGTGCCAATCAATAAGGCTACATAGAACGGCATTCAACTTATCACAGCCCTGTCCTAAAGACGATTAATGGACCATTGACTACATTTTGACACACAGTGCGTACATCAGCAGGTGGTCAGCATTAAGCCTAGTTTTCCGAAATTTAGCAATTCAATGATAACGGACACACCGCGCATACGACGCGATTCAAATCTTCAAATCTACTAACCATTTCCTTAATTTATTTCATTTCTTTAATGACCAAGAGTATAAATCTTTGAGTAAAAAATAAAAAAAAGTTATTTGTATTTAAATACGTACAATTCAAATACAAGTGGACTGCAGCTTATAAATTAAAACTTTTATAAAAGAAACTTAATCCACCGCACTGAATAATGTATTACATTACAAATTTTACACAGGTTTGCTGTTTCTTTCGTTTCCTTGAGTGCTGGCAAAAGGCTGCCAGAGAACTGAATTAAAGAAGCGATGAATGAAGCTGGAATGGAGCCACCGCTCTTCGTAGGCGGCTTCTTCCGCTTCCTGTTCTCCGTTTCCGTAAGATCCATACGGACTCCATCCTGTAGACGCTGTTTTATTCTCATATTCTCTCGCAGTTCGTAATTGCTGAGCTAAAGAAATTTCCATTAACCATAATGCACAATTTAATGGAAACGACATTATTTTTAAACTTAGTTCGAGCAAACTATTCGGGCATTAGTCGATCTAAATGTATACCTGTGAAATGTTATAAACGGTCCGATTACATGTGCCGTATTGATTTTCGACACATTATTATTTATCGTTTGTGGATTTTAAATGCTAGTAAGAGAAATATAAATTACCTTTTCTAGCAAGGGAGATTTGTTTCAAAGAGATGCGTAAGTGAATTTTCGTGAATTGCTATTCTTGAAATATTCAAACATTAAAACTCCGTACGAAGCAAAATGACTTACTGTCTACTAAAATAATAATAAAATATAAAATGAAATTGTAAGTATCTGGTGAGATAACTCTTAAACACGAAGAATAAATCTACGTGGTGTAAGGCCAGTTTAAAAAAAATATTCAAGTACTTATTTTTCAATTGTATTTTAGACACTGTCTATTTAAAATTCAAGGTTTTCAGTAGGAAACTTTTATCGTTGAAAGTGTGCTTTATGAATTCAAGTTTATCTGAGTAATATGATACTGCAAATTAAGTTCAAATAATCGAAGTATATAAGTGAGGTTTTTGTGAATGGCTGGTGACTAATTTAACAAACAGCAGCGAAGTAAAATTTTTGATGAAATATTTTGTCGATATGTTGTGTGACGTATACGAACAGATAACAAACCAGGAACAGAGTAGATATGTAATTTGATTCCGGCGTGTGTGGTACCAATAGCATGAGACTGTTGAAACCCTCCAGTAAACTTCCTCAAAGGGTCATAGATGGATTGTCATGGATGTGCAATACATGCATTATTAAATGTATAGTTAATGTTATTCGTAACTTTCGCGACCATTGTATTAATTAATACATAATATGCATAATTACAGTTATTTTATCGTTTAAGAAAAATACGATAAAAGAATCGAAAAGTATAACAATATTTTCTAATTTCATTTTGTTTTCTTATCCAGTTTCTGACGTGGTTAATAAAAAGGATTCAAAAGCAATACGCAACGAAGACGCATTATCTCATAAAACTGGAATTTGGAGCTTTACACAAGTTGTCTTAGTGTGAGCAGAAATACGAATTACAAGTGTCAACACTTTTTCGAACATATAGTGATTTACTTTCGTAATGCAATTCACCTTAAATATTATTCTAAAGAATTTTTACGTGTAAAAAAGACTTATCGGGCCTCATCTTAATTTCTAGACCTCTGTAAGGTAAAAAGAAGAATACATATTATATATTCGTGTTATATTCTTTGTATGTAGTAAGTAAAAAGTATATATGGTTTATAAAGCAATGATACTGTCCTTATTAGTCTTTAAGTTACTGGAAAATATTAATCACTACCTAAGGTATACGTTTTTCCAACTGGAGTTTTTAAAATTTCAACTGTATGCATGGAATAAAACTACTGCATATGGTAGTTGGTCGAAAGACTGACTGCATTATAGTCAGCAAATACTTTTCGATAGAAATTAACTTTACAAATGATATGTTAATTACTGTAAATACATTATCAACTAACATTTAGTCTGTCTGTACATATATTTTATGTAGAAGGAAACATCCACGATTACCTTGCCAGTAATTTTGTTTCCTAATGTGATAAATTCTTCAGATAGAAAATTATTTCATTGAATTAATCATACTTTCGTACTTGAAGGATAGAAAGGCACAAATATAATTAAAAACAAAATATGCGATATGTTTAGTAATCAGTTTATAACAGCAATTAACTAATATCAATTGAGAAGGAAAATAAATATTCGACAAGGATATAAAAAAAATCCAATTCCAAATAAAGAAGTTATCTTTATATTCTCTGAGCACATTTATGGTGATGTTAATCTCAAATGTATCTTGATTTAGTGATAACTTTATGGGAAATTATTCTAAATGCTAATTTGCAAGAAAATCATTAATATTAAAATGAAATGCAATTAAACAAAACCTTTCTTTTTGTTATTTAAGGTCGCATCAACATCTTGGTCATTAGCGACCACTATTGCATTAAACGGTATGATAACTGTGAAGATGTCATCATATGGTGATAATAGGACGAACACAAATGCAACCATACCCGAGGTGGAACTGGAACCCGCGAACCGATGTCGGTAAGGCACTACTGCCTCAATGATCTCGGCTATCCGGATGACTTAATAAGTCTGCTTAATATAAGATTTATATGCGTACAAAAAATAAGTTTGCCATGTCACTTGAAAACTAAATAGTTTTAATAATTTTTATCAGAATTACATTATGTGATATAAGCAGACACTAAAAAAATCACATTGTTATAAACATATTTTTACTCTGAATCTGTTCTTTTCAATTAAATCTGGACGTACTTGGAGAAGTAACTATACGACAGCTTGTACACTGGATGAATTAATTTATGAAACTTAATACTGTAAGCACTGCTTTTCATTATCAATAAAACAATCAATATTGTATTATTAATAATATACCGATTAAATTCAATCACAATTGAATATACCTGTTTGCTTACCAGTAAATATGGTTTTGTTTGAATTATTTCATAAGTCTTACTCGTTAGGATTCAATACATACGTAGTTAGAAATTAGATATGAAATTATTCGTTTTTGAACAGGGAATTTCCAAGTACTTTGCAAAGTTGACGCGCTGATTAGCTTATGTTGCCAATATCTCTGCTAAAAAATGTATGAACCCACTGCAACCTTCCGAATACAGTGTGTGCTCGTATAAAATACCTTCAATTTCTCAAAAATCCTTCAGGTATTTACAAGAACGTTCTATAATATTTTATTATAATTTAATAGATGTGATTTTTTTGTGAATCTCCGGCCAATAAATTATGTGTAACATGAATTGACGGGTTAATTTTCTAATTCTTCCGTTTGCATTCTCTGCGTCAAAATATTCTTTCAGGCAGCAAGCACTCTTCTCTGACAAAGGCGAAAAAATGAAAAATAAATTAAAAAATATTTGGTATTATTTGAGTTAAAAGTAAAGCAAACTAAGGTCAGTCAAAATCTGAGTCTCCCTTACAGCACCGCCAGATTGTCTGAATCGAATATTCTCACCCGATTTCCAACTTCTGTCCAAACACCTGACCGACTCAAACCTCTGCCCGCCAACCACTGCCCGGCCGCCTGTCTTTCGCACTATGCCCACCGTCCACTGCCCACTCCGCCTGTGTAGTGCCGCCGCACACTTGCCCGCCGCCTGACCGCACTATGGCCCACCGGGTCCACTGCCCACCGCCTGTTGCTGTCGCTATGCCCGCCGCCCAACTGCCCGCGGACCTGCCGCAACTATCCCACCGGCTCCAGCTGACTCCCCACCACTTCGTTGCGCTTGTATGCCCGCCCGCAGCACCTGCCCGCCGCCCTGCCGCACTATGCCACCGTCCCACTTTGCTCCCACCAAACTCGTTGCGTTGCTATGCCCCGCCGCGCCACTTTTGCCCGCGCGCCTGCCGCACGTATGGCCACGTCCACTGCCCACCGTTTCCACTGCCCACCGGTTCCACTGCCACCGCCTGGTGCTGATGCCCGTCGCCCAACTTCCCGCCGCCTGCGCCCCACTCCCGCCGCACTACGCCCGCCACCCGCGCCCGCTGCCCGCCGGCTTCCCTGGCTGCAGAGCCGGTGTAGCGTTACGTTGCCGCCACCGCAGCAGCAGCGGCAGCGGCGCCGGCAAGACAGAGACAGGGACAGGGACAGGGACAACACACCGCACACCGCGGTTAGCCGCCCCACGTGCCTCACCCCACCCCACATTGCCTCACGCGGCTTCGCCTCCTCCGTGCGCAGGTGGCTTCGACGTCTACAACATCGAGACGGCCATGCCCAAGATCGACCTGGACGCCATCGAGTCGCACCTGCGTGCAGCTCGCGAGGAGGAGAGGCGGGTAAGTAGCTTCTTCTCTTAACCGCAGTTGGTATGAATGCAGGGAAGTCCCCTCTGAGAATATTGGAGCTACACATTGGGATGAAGTGTTTCCTCAGAAAGTTTAATTAGAGTTCCACCGTTAGCGAGAGATATTATTTCACCATATCGTCATTCTGTGTATTATGAATACACGCCATAAATAAATGCATGTAATCATAATACTCCACTATAGAGTTGTCGTCCCTTGTGATCTACCCAACCATTACTTCTGCGTTATTTATTCATTCGTGAACCATTATTTATTCTTTCACTAACCTTAATAAGGGTTTTGAACAAATGTTGTACGTAAATGGATTTTGTTGTAAGCCGTGCTCGTACGAAACTGTGGTAAGTTTTCTTATTATTGTTATTTGTATTCTGTTCGTCTACAAGCTACAAAGTATAAAAATCTATATTACCTTCATAGACCATACGTATTCAATAATTTATTGGTTTCTTCAATATCCACTGTAAAAATCTAATAAATGTCCGGTGTGGAAACACATAAAATGTTTCTAATTCCAAGTGCAAAATAATATTTTGCGAGGCTCCAGGAAACGTAATACTGTTAATGTATAAAAACACTTGGAATGAATCTTCGAGTTGTTTGTTGTTTATTATCTCCTGCAATTATTTGTAATGACGTTTTAACATCTATTTGCTTACTGAACATTTTTTTTAATTCTAGGCAGTAATATTTGTAACTAATCATGAGAATCTGCAGCTAGGTCATGTTTTGTAATATTTCCGGATGAAAGTATGTAGTACCAAATATAGAGCTAGAAATGACAACTCCTATTCATTTAACGGAAATGCTACATTCGTATTTTGTTCTTTGAATAGAATTATTTTATCGAATATAATTTAATGCATTTATTATTTTAAAATCTGAAAAACCTTTCCAAACTACAGTTCAAAACTTTACTGCAGTTTTTACCTACCAACGAAAAGACAATTTTGTAAGATTTCCTACAACGTTTCTTGCTATGTTTTAAATATAAAATATCTAATTTACAAAAATTAATGTGAAAAGTACACAGATGCTAAAGAAATCTGTTTTGGTTTATTTGACACCTAACCCTATTCACTGAAGGAATTCTCGAAATGACTCTGAGTCCTCATACATAAGCTTTTCTTCAATTTAAGAAATTTGAAACGTGTTTATGAAAGAGTAGCTTTACAAGTGACGTTTTTTCCTGAAATACAATGTATCACCCAACAAAAAACTTTAGCATTGCATACAAGTAGATACTTCAATTTTATTAGGCTAATATAAAGGAAAATGCGATAGTAGACACTTGAGGACTTCGATCTTTACCCCGCGCTTTGAATCTCTCATTCCCGTATTTTTCCATGCATCGTGAATATTCTACGCTAGATACCATCAATCTGAGTCTCATCACAACGTTGATTTATGCATTTTACTTCTGTCACAAATCACATCGGACAGAACGTGCTTTATTTCGCGCTTAACTTTCATTTTATTTATTGTGTTCGTGATGGGAATATGAAATATTGCACTTGACACTACGGCAAATAAAGGATGATCGACATTCATGTATTAGCATTGTAAGTATGTAGAGGAACGCGGAATGGGTTTTAAAAAGCCAGGATTGTTATGACATTCGATTGGAGAATGGCATTGTATGATTTCTGCAAAAACGTTGGAGTTTAAATTTCAAACTTTTTTGTCAGTACCATGCTAATGTTGTAGTTAGCTCAATAATTTGTTTATGGCTTAATTTATATTCCTCTTCCAGAATTATGAGCATTTTCAATACATTGAAAGAATGTGCGATTTCTCATAACCACTTGCGCAAACAAGAACATATTTCCTCTGTAAATTGTTTGATATTTGACGTGCAGTCATTTTACTACATCATGTGTTTTTTTACGGTAATGAAGTTGACCATGTAGCCATTGCTTTCTAAAGAACATAATTCTGTTTATATATTTTTCGTTGGGGTGGGGTAGGTGTTCAGATATTGAATGTATTTTTCTTTTTACTTAAGTGTAATTAAGAAGCACCATTTTATTTGTAGTGGTTCACATAAATTTCACGTGTAATGAGATCGGTTAAAATAGTTGCATTAAAACAATTGTTTTTGTTTCATACTGCTAATAGTGAGCACATTCCTATATGTAATACGACAGATGTGTTATTTTTCATCCTTTATTAAGTGACTTACGACTCGTTTGACACGCAAAGACGAGCTTCAATTGCTCAATAGAAGACTGAAAAGGTCATATGAGAACATGATAGACCTCTCGGGTAAATTCCGCGACATTTTCTGCTGCGGTTATCGACAGATAAGACGGTGGTGGTGGTGGTGGTGGTCGAGCCATAGCACAGCCTTATCCGCGGACTCTGCTCGTTGTTATGAAGCGCGTACCTCTTCTTTGCCTTCAAGATTAAGAGTCATTGGTTGCGACCTACTATTTTTATTGCTTTGTTATTCATTACGACAAGCTGACCAATATGATATGGGTTTGAAACAAATATAATTGTCTTTTACGCTAAAAAAAGCTAAAACTTTTTTTAAACTAAACTTGTAAAATCAACTGATGGTATTTATTACGATCACCAAACACAATATTAATGTTACACTATATATAAAATTTGATACGGAGCATTGGAGATCAACAAACTGAATTGGTAGAACCAAAAATATCCCTTTTTGCGCTGATGTACATTTCGACGCTATATGAAGTGGTTTTGCCTAAAATATGCGAGAAATTAAGACAAGAAAGTATTCTTAAGCCAATTTTCTTATCTCGACAGGAGTAGACTACCAGATGAGTATCCCGGCGCTTTCCGCATATATTTTTATCATATCCATCTATTTGGCATAAAAAAGAATGATAAACTGTAATATGGAAGTATTTGTAATTACTTTCCCGCCCCACTTCTTAACATTCCCCAGTCCACCATCCTCCACCTTCCCCCTTTCTCCCATTCCGTCACGACTCGCTCCATTCCGCCCCGTCCCCAGTCATCCTCCACGGTTCCCCACCGACCGTCTCGCCCTCGCTGCCAAGCTCCGACCCCTCTCCCGGCCCCCACCCTGCCGTCACCATTTCCATCCAAATCCACTTCTCCTTCAAACAGCCACGCCCCTCTGTGATCCGCTGCTCCTCAATCCCTAAATACCTAAATGCATTGCGGTTTGCATTAAACTAAGTTAAACCTACGTTTATAAATTTGAAAAAAAAAAGTGACAGTTTGAATAGCAAAACTATGTTTTTCTCCGTCGCTCTAAGGTATTCGTGCAATATTTGATTCAAATTGATCCATGTGTTTCAGTGTTATGCTGGAGCACAGATATCTAGTTTTATATTTTTATTGGGACTGCCATTGGGGTGCCATAGGATATCTATTGCACTCATTGACCACGGGATTTTATCGTACGTAGCGAGTCGCAGATGCCTAATCCGCAGCACGCTGGCTTGAATAAGACAGGCGTTGTAATGTTGTATTTTAACAAATTACTTTTTGAGACATATTACAGTATTTTCGTCAATTATTTAATAAGAAATCACAAAGAAAATGGCTGAGTAGAAATACATAGTTATAGATTATGGATCATTAAATAACTTAGCTTTTCGCAGCATAGCAATGATAATAGTCATCACAGCGTTTCTTCAAACTGTCTCACGGTCTGTTTTAGTCACAGAACTATTATAACGGTGGGGTACCACAAACTCATTCATATAATAATAATAATAATAATAATAATAATAATTAAACTTTAATCACTACCAATGAGAATACCAATTTGATTAACCCTATCTAGTGTATTAATAACAGTCATTTACTCATACAACTAACCGGTGCATAGAAAAACAACAATAAACGTCCACTATGCTTAAAGTCGAAACTCAGCCATCAAGAGTCGACACGCACCCTTTGCTGGCCCGTGCGCGGGCGTGGACCAGGATGGAGCCGAGGCGGAACGCGTGTAATCTCTGGTGGGTGGAGCGGGGGACGCGGGGGGGGACGGCGGTAGGAGCTATCGCACCGGAAGCTCCCCGCGATGTCGGAGAACATCTTTAAAATTATCAGCGACTTTTGAAGCGCTCCCCGCGCCGCCGGAGACCCCCCGCCCCTCCGCTCCCTCGGGACGTCGTGTCCGATGTCGTCCCCGCGGCGGAGATGCGTTGGTGACGCCCGCGCCGCCTACGCCCCCCCCCCACCCCCCATAGCATGCACAGTGGGTCGGACAGTGCGATCTGGCGGGAATATAGGTCAACATTTATTTTTGTTGCAAATGTCTGTACTCAAGGAGGAAGCGGATCTGCGAATTGGGAATTTCAGATCGACGGAACGAAATCGGCCACTACATTTTATGAGGCAATGCCATCTCTCGAATATTGGTTGCCTCCGCAGAACAATTCAATAATTTACGTTCTTTCTCGGAAGTTCGAGGTATCGCTTGTGATGGATCTGAAACTGCTTCGGCCACTTCTTTAGATTTGTTTTGGATAAAAACACGGACCTTAGACAGGAAATACTCTTTATTACGTGCCAATACAGGTGTGTTTGCAATGTTGTCATCAGTGCTCTCTGCGAGTTTACTGTCAGCTATTTATTATGTGGGTGGGCGAAGGAAGGTCATGGGTGGTCAAGAACATTGAGCGGTAATTACCAGCCTTTGTAGAACAGAGTAATCGCGTATCTAAATTATTTCGGGCTTCTACGTGTACTGGGCAGAGCGTATCAATGACGTTAACGTAATCTATTTCGGTGAATCTCGTAAGTTTAACAATTAGGTTCCTTGGAAAAGCCGATATGTCTAAGTTAGAGATATGCTACTCGTACTTAATGTTTTCTCCATTCATAAATCCGCGAAAACGTGCGGTGAGTGAGGTTGTATCTAAACTAAGAAGTGTTCTAAATAGGGCACAAATGTATGAATGCACTTTTGTTAGGCCAATGAGAAATTTGATTTCAATATGAGATTCAAGTCGATAAAACGTAGA